GCAAATTAATGTTCGAAAAAAAGTTTTTTCCTCTCTTTGACAGTGATATACGACTGGTATTTATAGTAAAAGAACAAAAACTGGTTAGAGTGGAAATCCGGAAGATTAAGGATGAATTCCAATTTCAAAATGCTCTTTTTCGAGGCAATAGCTAAGAGGCGTTGGGGAGTTGGATCTTTACTCTCAAAATCCGCAAAAGGGGACAAAGTGGATTTGAGGGTGATGGGTCTGCAAGCGAGAAGGAGAACAATGGTACACTATAACACCGCTTGGAGCTGGAGTAGCCCGATTTTGAGGAAAAAGAAGAAGAAGGTGTACAATGGTACTGGTTGATGCCACTTTTCGCTGGATTTCGGCGTGCATCTGTCTTGCAGCGTACTTTGCTGCATTCTTCGCTGGTTTCTCGCTGATTTTAAGCAGAGAAGAAGACCTACATGATGGGTCAGGTATTTGGATTTGTGGGTTTGGTCTTTGGGGAGAGAATTGGGCCTTGAAAATTAGTCTGAGAATGAGTTGGGTTGGGAATTGTTGATGAATGTAAAAAAGAAAGTGGGCTGGAAATTAAAAACGAAATGGGCTGGGAGAAGAAAAAAAAGAAAAATGGGCCTGGAAATGGGAATTGGTAGGCTGAAATTAAATAAAAAGGAATGGGCTCACTATTGGAGAATAGGCCCAAAAATTGACTTGGAAATTTAAGAGGGGTTAATTTAATGAATAGCCAAATTGAATTAGGATAATAAATTTGGTTAAACCTTAAATAAACCATAATTTAAGCTAAATTAGTTAAGTAGAATACTTAATAAAATTTAAAATATTTTGAGAAAAAATCGTAAAATATACCAACTACATATATAATACTGTAAAATATATAGGTTATCTAAAATTATAAGAAAAATGACAAAAGTATTCAAAAGAATATAAAGTTCATATATTATTATTATTTTTTGCAAAATTTATAAAACTAATTATTTTAAATTGTTTGGAAATTTAAAAAGCTCGAAAACTAATTTATACTGGGGAGGGTCGAAATTAAGTGTCAACATCATCTATCCTAGTATTAGTGTTGAAGGTAATGATTTTATAGTTCATTGTTGTGCTTCTCATTCAGGGTTGGGAATTTTGTTAATGCAAGATAAGAATGTGATAACCTATATGTCGCGCCAATTGAAGGTTCATGAGAGACGTTATCTAACTCATGACTTTTAGTCTGCATCGATAGTATTTCCCCTTAAGATTTGGTAAAATTACCTCTATGGGGTTCAGTGTGAAGTGTTTATTGATCATCATAATATGCAACATGTATTCACTCAAAAGGATCTGAATTGAGAGAACGAAGATTGATGGATTTACTCAAGGATTATGTTGCGACCATTCAATACGAATCGGGCAAGGCTAATCTGGTGGCAGACGGTTTGAGTAGAAAAGCGGTAAGTATGGGTAGCTTATCTTACTTGAGTGTAACCAAGCGACCATTGGCCAATGAAATCCAGAACTTAGAGGTTAAGTTCATGCAGTTTGACATCTATAGAGGAGGTGGGTGTAAGCTAGATTTGAAGTTAAGGCCACCTTCGTCGAGGATATCAAGGTCAAAAAGTTTGAGGATGAAGATTTGAAAGAAATCAAAGAGAAGATAGCAATGGTAAGGCACAAGAGACCACTCTTGATAAGGATGGTGCACTTATGGTGAAAGGAATGATTTGTATTCCTCGATTTGATGCCTTGATTAAAAAATTATTGGCGGAGTCTCATGGTTCGCTATATTATATTCATCCGAGTGTGACCAAGATGTATACATATCAGAAGAGAATTTATTTGTGGGGGGATGAAGAAAGACATCGCGGAGTTTATTAATTGTCAACAAGTAATATATGAACATCAAAGGCATGCTAGATTACTTCAAAGATTGTCAATTTCGGAATTGAAGTGGTAAACAATATCCATAGATTTTGTGGTTGGTCTTCATAAGACTTTGCATAAGTTTGATTCTATTTGGGTTGTGATTGATAGATTGACTAAGTTAGCCTATTTTATTCTGGTAAGACTAGATTATAATGTTTAACAATTGGTGAAGATTTATGTGAAAGAGATAATGAGGCTGCATGGTGTGCCTTTTTATATCATCTCAAATTGCGGTACACTTTTCACTTCCAAGTTTTGGAGGAAATTGCATGATGAATTGAGAACACAACTTACTTTTAGTACGGAATTTCATCCACAAAAGGATATACAATCACAAAGGACTATAAAAGTGTAGGAAAACATGTTGAGAGCTGGTACGATTGATTTTGGAGGGCATTGGGATAAGTTCTTACCTTTATGCGAATTTTCTTATAACAATAACTATCACTTCAACATTGATATGGCACCGTTTGATGCATTATATGGGAGTGGATGTAGATCACCCATGAGTTGCTTTGAGGCTCGAGATGTGAAATCTTAGGGGGTTGGGCTAGTGAAGGATGCTCAACATAAGATTAGGTTTATTCAAGCTAAACTTCTATTCGCTCAAAGTAGACAAAAGAAGTATACAAATAATAAGGGGAGAGAAATGGAGCTTCAAACTGGAGAAAATGTACTTCTTAAGGTATTACCCATGAAGAGAGTCATGAGATCCGGTAAAAGGGGAAAGTTGAGTCCGCGTTATATTGGCCCTTTTGAGGTTGTCGAATCTGTAGGAGCAGTGGCGTATAGATTTTCTCTACCCCTTAGTTTGTCCAGTGCCCATCCCGTATTTTATGTGTCAATGTTGTCATCGTGATGGGGGATTATATCATTAAGTGGAACTCAATCGTATTGGACAAGGACCTCCAATATGAGGAGAAACCTGTTGTTATTCTTGATCATGAGTACGCAAGTTGTGAACCAAGGAGATTAAGTCCGTGAAACTTCAATGGGAGAATCATCCAATCAAATAAGATATATGGGAAACCAAGAAGGACATGCGAGACAAGTATCCACAATTTTTCACTGATTCAGGTATTAGTTTTCTCCTCCTTAGCTTGCTTTTCCTTAGTTTTGTCACTCGAGGACGATTGAAGGGTGGGTAAACTGATATCTATTGTAACAACTGAACTTTATCATTATAAAAATACCAACGAGAGAAAAAATTGGGGCCAAAAAACTTTTTCATAGTATTAGGATTTACTCAACCTTGTCCACATTTGGAGGAAATCAAAGTCATCAAAGTGTAGGGAAATCTGGTAGCAATTGGGTGACTTAATTAAAAATTTAATTACATGAGGTGTAATATAACTCGTTACCACACCCATACAGATTTTAAGTAATGGTATTTAAGTGAGTGGAGCTCCGAGAATCGACCTTAGCATAATGGGTACTTTTTTAGCGTAGTGGAATTGAGGTGTGCTGTAAATTGGAACTTCAGAATTATGTGAACGAGCTCTCTATTTTGTTTCGCGCTATTGTAGTAGGATTATTGCCGTTATAGAGGGATAATGGCCATTGTGGCGGATTAGACGAGACTTAAAATCGTAGATTTTTGGGGAGGGCTTATTGTTTCAAAAACATTGTTCTAACGGGATTTCATGCCGTTGTAGCACCGGCGCTATAGTGGGATGGGTGACGATGTAGTGGAACGGGCATGAATTAAGTAGTTTAAGAAATCCCTAAACGGCCTTATTTGACAATTCTTACTTTTAGAGCTAACTAGCAACCCACAGGCGACCCTAACTCATATTCCACCATTTGTGAGGCTAAAGATAAGTTTTTAACTCCCCAAATATTTTTTTGATCCATAAAACGTAATCAAATGGGTCAATATTGATGGAGAAGGGTTTCTTGATAAATTTTACGATGGAAATAACCCTAGTCTAGACACTAGAGATCATGGGTATGATGAAGAGTTATGTGCATTGAGAGTAATTCACATACTTAGTGATTATTTATTGATTTCAGTATGTTATTAATTGTTTGTAGACCAAGAACAAGTGAAACGAATCCGGAAAGGGAAGTATCAAGTTTGTGGGGTTTCAAGCTTTTTTCGAGATAAGTGATCATTGTGATTTAAAGATTATGCTATGTATGCATGTTCATCCTTCATTGTGATACTTGTATGCATATGAATGTTGCATTATTGATCACCCTTGTTATAACTGAGATGGTGAATGATGTAGCTATGAAATAATGATGTAAATGTATGATGTAGATGATATACTTGTGATTGTGATCGTGGTGTGTGAATGAGGATCGGATTGTCATGTTCTAGCAAGCTAATTGGGATCAGTTTCCACGTTCCGGCATAACTTTGGATCGGGTTACCATGTTCCGGCACAATATTAGATCGGATTGCCACGTTGCGACATACTTTGGGATTGGATTACCACATTCTGACAAGCTAACTATTTGAGTTTCGTGAGAGGAACAATGATGTGATAAGCATGTGTATAGCACTACTAGAAATTTGGTCTACTGTCACGGTTCACCTATCGTAGCAATTGACGTTACTACCGTAGCCATAGGTCTAAGGCTACGGTTACCACAACCGCTACAACAAATCGCGTAGCAATAGGGATATTGCTACGGTTCTATGCGACAGTTCTAATAACCATAGCCATACATTGAGCTATTGCCACGGTTCTCATTTGAATTAATTGCCGACGGTTATAGACGTATTGGTACAATTTTTAATCGTCGTAATAGAGGTTTATGCATCAATTCTGTTAAGGCTATGGCTACAGTTTTTTTCGATTCAACACACCGTTTTCACTCTATTGCGACGGTTGTTATAGGGTATTGCAACACTTTCAAACAATTGTAGAACTGTGGCTTAATGCCTATTGCAACGGTTATTACCTGCTATTTGCAACAATTCTAATACAATATTAGTAAGCTAATATATACCTGCTATATATATACTAAATCATTCATGAGAATCAAATTTATATCATAAAAACACACATAAATCGTTAACGAGAATAAATGTTCATTACCTTAATTAGAATTCAAGATCCAAAATATACAAATCTTTTTATAGAATCCAAAAAAGGTGAAACACATGCCATAGAATTTTCAATCTTCAAAAATATATGATTTCTAGAACATCAATAAAGTTTACATCAATATATACTTCAGCTCCTATGTCAAGTCTTCACTACTGCTTTCATCCCTTTCTTCGATTTCATCACCTACATATAACCAGAAAAAAATATAAATAATTTAGCAAACCTCAAATCTTGGAAATTAACATGTTACAACCATGCATTAGCAGCAGCAGAATCAAGAGACATTAAACAGAATCAAGAGACATTGAACTGCTAGCTGCATTCAATAACATTCAACTGCTACAAGCAGCAGCAAAATAAAAGACACATAGACTACTATACTACTAGCTGCATTCAAACTTCCACAAGCAGCAGCAGAAACAAGAGACCAGACTACTATGCATGCCAATAACATTCAACTGCTAGCTGCATTCAAGCTTCTACAATCAGCAGCAGAATCAAGAGACCAAACTACTACACATTCCAATAACATTCAACTGCTAGCTGCATTTAAACTTCTACAAGCAGCAGCAGAATCAAGAGACCAAACTACTACACATGCCAATAACATTCAACTGCTAGCTGCATTTAAACTTCTACAAGCAGCAGAATCAAGAGACCAGACTACTATACATGCAGCAATTAGCTACTACGTTGGCTCGACTAAACATAATCGTGAAGCTAAGATTAAACACTATAATGCTACAAGAAACCAGCAGCAGAAACAAGAGACCAGCAGCAGAAACAAGAGTCCAAACTACAATAAGTAGAAACAACACTATCATGCTACAAGAGACATGTTTACTTAACATAAAGAAGAAACCACAAGAAACCAGACTACAAGCAGCAAGTATCAAAAAAATCATGAATCTAACAACTGGTCCTCTACTAGGCTACAAGCCGCACAAGAAAACTCATGAACCAGACTACAAGCAGTAACTCAGACATTAAACTATTAGAGAACAAGCAGCAACTCAGACATTATACTCATGAATCAGGCATTTACTGATCCTCTGCCTAACTTTTCCACAACTTCCTTAGATCAATAGCATACTATTCCATTCTAATCCTATCGCAAGTAGCAACAACAAATACCAATCAAAACATAGAATTAGCGACACCAACCTTGTTTAGCCCCTTAAACAAAAGTAGATTCTCTTGGTGAAGGAGTCGACAATGTTGCCAATATATTAGGATCAATTAATCCTGCATGCTTAAGTTGTGCAATAACATCTGCAATAACTTCTTGTCGCACAATTTTCTTTTGTTCCTCCATCTGTTTCTCCATTTTCTGCATCCTCTCTTGCATTTGCTGCATTCCATCAGTTGTTGCACTTAAAGTTGATTCCGAATTGCCAACTTTTTTTTTCAAAGTAGTCTTTGTAACTCCTGCGCCATATAGTCTTAGACGTCCCGGATGTTCAGGACCCATGACGCTTGAAAATGCATCAACATACTCACCATTTATGCTTATTTGTTTTTCAATTTCCTCCATTTCAGCCTACTAAAGCATATCCAACAAACACAATATTATGAAATAAATAATTGATCTCAATAAAAAAATATAGACAGACACATCCAATTTTACTAGTAGTATCTTCATTTGAGGCCTTGTACAAACGACCAGGTTTTCTTGTTCTTGTAACCACAAAGAGATCCTTAGATGATACTGTCTCCTTATCTTTCTCCTAGTCAAATTGAAATATATATAAAAAATAAACTCACACTAGAAGAGATCCAAAAGAAAATTTCATCAAAAAAATAATATATAAGAGAACTCACCAGCTTATTACGAACTAAAGCGAAACTCTTTTTGCCAGTAGTTTGTGGATTCATCATTTTCTTTCGATTCTTTGCATTTGTTTCAGACATTTTCTGCAAAGAAATGAATCAGTAATGTTAATCGAAGGTATATTAGTGTTATATAGTGTACTAGATGAGGTCAATATTAGTCTGTCTTTCCTTTATAATAGTCTATTTTTCCTTTATAACAATCTGTCAATATCACTCATTATATAGTGTTAAGGTGTCTTGTAAAATGCATGTGACTATCACAATAAATGAAGAAAGAAGCTACAAAATATTACAATAGAGAAGAGAGTAGAAGAAAAAATAAAGCAGAATATATACTATTATCACACTACTTTAGACACTAAAGTACCAAATACAAATGCTACTTATTCAAAAAATTGAGATTCTGAACTACATTTTTACCTTGAATTTTTCAGAATTCCAATATTTGAGGAGCTCTCTAAATTGACATTCTGGAATATGACCAGGCTTTTTTGCCATTCTAACTGCATCATTGTCATATGGATCGTAATAATTAAGCTTCAAATCACTTCTATGTCTTCTCCAAGCATCTCGAATTGTTACCATAGCCCAATGGTACGCAGCTTCAGGAATAATATATTTCCCCTATAATTTTGTGTCATTCAATTAGCCAATAGAAGTAAAATACTTTTACAAATAATTTATTATTGTAAACTACAAACCTTGGTATAATCCCATAAATCGTTTTTAGTGTCCATGCTCCTCCAATCCAATATATCAAATGGGCAAAGAGTCGCATTTCTAGCCAATGTTCCTAGGAAGCTACTTACCTCTATGACAACATCATCCGTAGGACCAACGGGTTGATTTTGACTATTCAGTATGATCAACTTACGTTCTTTTCGGGCATGAACATCATGCATTTGCGTTCTACCTCTTTTATTTGGAGTGGAAACATCTCCAGCTATAAGAAAATACAAGAATAATAATTAAAAATTATGAATACATAAAATAAGTTTGTAATCTTATATGTTACCTTGTTCTTCAGGTTGATCATTTGTTCGAGGAGTGACAAAATTCATTTGCACTTGATCCTCGAAAGGAAAATCTTTTCCATGCTGGTCAAGAGGCAGCTCCTCGACAGGCTGCACAAGAGGCAGCTCCTCGACAGGCTGCACAACAGGCAGCTCCTCGACAGGCTGATTTTCAAAAGGCAACTCCTCGATAGATTGTCTTTTTGCTTCAGATTGTGGTGCTACTGATTGTTCTGCTCCAATTAATTTGAGCAGATGTCCTTTCTTGCACTCTATTTCTTTAATAATTTCATTTGTTGTCAATAACCGTCGTTTCTTATTTGCCAAGAATGATAACGATCCCGGTTTAGCAAATGTTTTCTTTTTGGCTTTTTGGTTCTTTTTGAAGTTTCTTGTTGACTCATATCTATGACTATTCAAACCTATCTGAAAATAGAAATTAAAAAGTTAAAATGTATGGCAGTGTACACCTGCAATACTTACACAAATCAATCACCAAGATATAATAAAGAGCTGAAAATAAAATGTACCCTTAAGGGACATTCTAATAATATTTTCTGCAGACAATCACATTCAGTAGGTCTATTACTGTTCACAATCACACACAAGATTTAGAGTGTTTTTAGGTGCCAATTGGTGAAATTATAAGAGAACAACAAGTTTCTTACTGTCTACAATAATATTAAGTACTCGAAGAGAAAACGAACCTGGACTGTTGGACCTTAGTAAAGAGATAAGAACCTAGTGATTTGCTGGTCCACTAATATATTGAAATTGCTCAGAGAAACTGCAAAAAGAAGAAGAATGAAAATGATCAATAAGAGAGAAAAAGGACTTACCAAAACTAATAATCAAAAAGTTGTAGTAATTTAACGATAACATGAAGAAAAAAAACATAGAAACAAAAACAAGAGATAGCAAATATAGTTTACTCAACATTCATAATCTATATGATGCACCTCAAATGATATTCATTATTTACTATAAGAAAAAAAACATAATGTATTTGAACAAGTCCACAAGATCCTTTGTCAATCATCAACTTCCATCCAATCTCAATCAGTATCATCAAAGTCATCCTCCTCTTCCGATGTTTCCATAGCTTCATCTTGTGAATGTTGTGCAATGGAAGGAACATCGATGATATCAACAGGAAGATCTTCTCTAGACCATCTAACATCTACATCAACTAATCTTTCTGATGAACCAATATCATCATTAGGCTCTCTCCAAAATGTTTCTTCAATATTAGGACAATTCTCTTCCTCCAAATCATACAAATCCACAGGGACTTTGTTTCTTGCATAATAAACATTTTTCTCAACTGGATCTTCCATATAAAAAAATTGATGCACTTGAGATGCTAGTACAAAAGGATCATTTGTACTACATTTTTTGTTGAAATATACCGAGTCAATCCATAATCATCGACTTCATTATGAAACCAATCACAATTAAAAAGTACAACACTAAAGCAACCCCAATAATCAATCTCAATGATATCCTGAATAATTCCGTAATGGAGAACCATTCCATCAACAGGATTTTTGTCCCTAGCACTAGCAAAACTATCCGTTGTGGCTGACAAAGTCACTCCACTATTCTGAGTTTTACAAGGGGCATCCCGTGTCTTCGTATGAAATCGATATCCATTAATGAAATATCCAGTATATCTTTTTGCCACAAAGTTAGGCCCTTTAGCTAGCCATTTTAAATGATTGGACACTTCAATATTTTTAACTTTTTCACTAAACCAATCACCAAATTCTCTACTATGGACCTGTGCTTTTACCCATGCATTGCCTCTAGTACGATTATCAGTTAAGCTCTTATGTTCCCTGTAAGCATGTAATGTAATTTAATCAATGTGTATTTACAAATGAAATGAAATTTGAAATACATTATCATAACATCTAAATGAAGTTTAAAAACAAACGAGTATTTTATCTTACTTGATAAATGCCTCTACTTGTTCATCTCCTGTATTGAACAAAGTATATCGATGTGCTTCAAACAACTCATGCTGCTCCATGTTCAAAATCTTGCCTTTCCTTATATTCTCACTTCCAATTGGATGACCTGTCTTAGGAAATAAATGTGAAACACCACCTTCTTCTGTTTGAATGTACTCATCATCCTCTATTTCACACCTACTTAATTTTGTCTTCACCGTATTAGGTAGGTATATGGCAATAAAGTTCAAACAATCTACAGCTGAAAAACCTTCTACTATTGATCCTTCAGGATTTTTTCGATTACGAACAAGCCCCTTCAAGTCACACATAGTTCTCTCTGTAGAATACATCCAACGCAAATGAGTTGGGCCTCCAAGCTTAATTTCATCTACTAGATGGATAGGTAAATGTGTCATTATATCAAAAAAGGATGGAGGAAAAATCTTTTCAAGCTCACATTCAATATCTATGATTTCTGCTTTCATCTTATCAAGATCGCTTCTTCTTATAACCTTGCTACATGTGGCTCTAAAAAAATTCCCCAATCTAATCAAGACCATAGCTACATTCTTGGGTAACACTTTTCTGACTGCAACCTGGAGCAAGTAATGCATTATGAAATGAGCATCATGACTTTTGCTTCCTGATACTTTCATATCTTCAATTTGCACACGACTTGATATATTAGAAGCACACCCTTTTGGTAATTTGGCATCTTTTAAGACGGTGCAAAATAAATTTTTCTCATCCGGTGTCATAGAGAAACAAGCTTTAGCTAGATGGATATTCCCTGTATCACAATCTTTTAGAGGTTGAAGATCTTTACGTATCCCCATTTCATACAAGTCATAGCGATAATTTATATGATCTTTGGACTTTCCAAGTATATCCAATAAAGTCCCAAGCACACTGTCACAAATATTCTTCTCTATGTGCATCACATCAAGGATGTGCCTCAATTTGTTTGTTGCCCAATACGGTAACTCAAAAAATATGGATTTTTTTTCCATGGACCATCATTCTTTCATTTTCTTTTCTTTTTGTTCTTTCCAAATACATTATTGAATTCACGAAGCTCTTTAAGAATTTGTGCACCTGATAATGGAGTAGGTGCAACTTTATGCTCCTCTTTACCGTTAAATGATCTTTTATCTCTTCTGAATGGATGATCAGGAGGTAAAAACGTCCGATGACCCAAGTAACACATCTTGCGACTATGTTTGAGATATTGGGAACAAGTATTATGGTTACAAGTGGGGCATGCCCATCTCCCCTTGGTGCTCCATCCATAAAACATTGCTAGAGCTGGAAAATCACTAATTGTCCACAATAAAGCTGCATGCATTAGAAATGTTTGATTAGTTACAGCATCATATGTTTCAACTCCCACTTCCCATAGTTCTTTCAACTCTGCAATCAGTGGTTGCAAGTATACATCTATATCATTTCCGGGAGACGATGGACCTGGAATAATCATTGACAACATAATATTCTCCGACTTCATGCAAGTCCATGGAGATGAATTATAGTTCATCAACATAACTGGCTATGTGCTATGGGAAATGCTCATAGTTCTGAATGGATTGAAACCATCACTTGAAAGACCCAATCTAACATTACGAGCATCATTAGCAAAGTTAGGATGCAATGAATCAAAATCCTTCCAAGCTTCACCATCTGCAGGATGTCTTAAATTTCCATCTTTAAGTCGTTCAGTATCATGCCATCTCATAGCTACAGATGTTTTAGAACACATGAATATCCTCTGAAGCCTAGGTTTTAAAGGAAAGTACCTTAACACCTTCACTGGGATTTTCGTAACCTTATTATTTAAGTCATTACGAACATTCTTCCATCTTGAAGCTCCACACACAGAGCAATTATCTAACTTTGCATTGTCATTCCAAAATAATATGCAATCATTAGTGCAAGCATGTATTTTCTCATAATGAAGACCCAAATCTTTTATGATCTTTTTTTCCTTGTAAAACGAGTCGGGTATCTTAGCAAATGGAAATGCCTCTCTTATCAAGTCCAACAAATTTGAAAAGGCCACATCAGTCAACTTGTGAATGCATTTAAACAAGTATAGCCAGATGGTAAAACTCAACTTAGAAAAATTCTTACACCCTGGATACAACTCTTCTTTCCCTTCCTTCACTAATTTAAAAAATCTCTTTGCATCTTCATGTGGCCCCTCCCTCACTCCTTCATGTCTCTGATCATCTACTATATTTCTAAAAGTATCATGAAGTAATATATCAATGTCGTCATGCATGTTAGAAGTTTCTTCTTCATCGGTTGGATGTGGCGTATTTCTTGAGGAAAATCCTTCACAATGAAAAACCCATTTGGTGTATCCATGAACAAATCCATGGCAAATCAAATGATCCTCTACCATATTTCGGCAATGCCAATTACGATTAAAGCATTTCTTACAAGGACACAATATTTCATTTCCTTGGGAAGCTCGTTCAAATGCTTTATCAAGAAAATCATTAACTCCATCAATATATTCATTGGTGGATCTTCGGAGATTAATCCAACTTTTATCTCCAAAATCCATTGAATATTTATCCTACATGACATGTGCAAAATATTAAAGCCAATAAATTCATGCGTACAAATAATATCGGCAGAACTTAACAACTCGAACTTTTACATTAATCTAATCTCAAACCTTCACATCAATTCAACAACAAACAATTACAACACTAATAGTAGAACCAAAAAATATTGAGAAGTTAAGTTATTAGCAGCTTCCACCATTTATTAAACTTTATACAAATGAATGACTAAAGGCACACGCAAACACATTTCAAAGCAATAAGGGCAGAACTATATTAGAGTAAATAACATATATTATAGCAATAGACTGCAACAAGTAAACAAAATAACTATCAATACATTAGTTTTGATTCTAGCAAAACAGTTCATGTATTCGTAAAACAATAACAAAGCTGATTGTTCACATGGAAAAAGTAGTTCGGACAAACCATAACAACTCATATTCTCTTTATAAAAAAAAACACAAGGGATTTAGCTGGTCAATCTAACAACTAGCTACCATATAGCAGAAAATTTTTATTACTTTCAATTTCTTACCAATCAGCCTTCTCGGGTTCCAAACGAACTACTTCAAAAATCCTGAAGTGTTACCTTTGGGTATGTATCAGCCAAGCCTACAAATAACATAATCACACAATATTATTAGGAAACCAAGCCAAAGAGAGGAAAAAATATAAGAGATATATGTCCAAGATAAGTAGCTTAGCTTAGAAAACTCCATCAAAAAATTCCTTTTTTTAAATCACACATACAAAAAAAACAGTGGCACAAAGTAGTTATTCAATATTTAATTACCCGAAGAAAGTGATGATTTTACGCTATTTGGAGTCTGCTCCAATAATTATGTGCAAGGTGATGCACCTTATATGGTTTGAGTTTGTTACTTTACTACTTCAATCCATGATACCTGTGTGTGCATGTGTGTTTTATGTAACTTGAGAGAGTTGGGGTTTTAGCTAACTGCTAGATTTTGTCTGTTTGCAGCTCTGCTGGTTTATGAATTCATAAAGCGAGTTATAGGGATCAATCACTGACTTTTAAATGGAAGACATATGCATATGGATTTCAGTTATCTTGTTGAAGATATATGTGTATGTGAATATGACCACTTCAAGTTTCTGCATAGAGTACGCAGCTTATCTGTTAATGTCTATGGTGGTATGTTCAAAGTTCTGAAAACATAGCAGAGTGTTAGATTCTGAGGTCCACCAATGTGTCTTCGTTAGAATATCATGAGTAGCAACTCCTTGTGTTTTCAATCATTATTCGTAGGTTAATAATTTTGTTGGTGTCAATGTAGCAGAACAAGTTAACAGTTTTACCAAAAGGAAGTATCTTCTCATACCATACTATAGAAATCCACTCAATACCACATACAGTAATTTTACTAAAGGAGAATAAACAAAATTCTATACTCTTATGCATTAAGAATATGCAATCATTCTATATATGGTGTAATAGGGGTCAGCAAAAGTATGCCGGCCTCACAAATGAAGACACCAATAAATTCATGCGTACAAATAATATCGGCAGAACTTAACAACTTGAACTTTTAGATTAATCGAATCTCAAACCTTCACATCAATTCAACAACAAATAATTACAACACTAATAGTAGAACCAAAAAATATTGAGAAGTTAAGTTATTAGCAGCTTCCACCATTTAATAAACTTTATACAAATGAATGACTAAAGGCACACGCAAACACATTTCAAAGCAATAAGGGCAGACCTAGATTAGAGTAAATAACATACATTATAGCAATAGACTGCAACAAGTAAACAAAATAACTATCAATACATTAGTTTTGATTCTAGCAAAACAGTTCATGTATTCGTAAAACAATAACAAAGTTGATTGTTCACATGGAAAAAGTAGTTCGGACAAACCATAACAACTCATATTCTCTTTATAAAAAATACAAGGGAGTTAGCTGGTCAATCTAAAAACTAGCTACCATATAGCAGAAAATTTTTATTACTTTCAATTTCTTACCAATCAGCCTTCTCGAGTTCCAAACGAACTACTTCAAAAATCCTGAAGTGTTACCTTTGGGTCTGTATCAGCCAAGCCTATAAATAACATAATCACACAATATTATTAGGAAACCAAGACAAAGAGAGGAAAAAATATAAGAGATATAAGTCCAAGATAAGTAGCTTAGCTTAGAAAACTCCATCAAAAAATTCCTTTTTTAAATCACACATACAAAAAAAAATAGTGGCACAAAGACAAGGACTATATTTTCATGCCAAGAGCAGTATCACCTGATTGAATTATTTCTTTGTTTAATGAGACTGAGGAATCTTTTGCAGATGACTACAACAATTGCAATTGAGGATGTAAGGAGAGAAGTCAAAATATTGCGTGCTTTAACAGGACATAGGAATCTGGTTCAATTCTATGATGCCTATGAGGACAAGGAAAATGTTTATATAGTCATGGAGTAAGTTGAAATTGTCAACCTTAATGTTGCTTTTCATTATGGATACCTAGGATCCTGCCCAACTAATTTGGTGATTAAAAGATCATTCATGAATTATTTGGTAACATAATATCACATGATGAATTCTAACAACCCAATTATAATTTTTCATAAGCCCCTGTAAAGTATTGAGAGAATTAAATCAGCTCAACCAAATGAAAATGCTTACGGAGGTTTGTGTCTCGGACAGACCACTGAAGAAATTAGTTATGATCTGCATGTTTTAATACGGTATCTAATAGAAATTTCCAGGGTTTCTTCTAATCCCACCATATATGTGAACAAATGTAGTGTCATTTCTTTCTTACGTCACTCTATGTTTCGTATGCTTGGTTTCCAAGCTCATTATATTGACAGTTGTTCTTCTGTTCTATTCAGAATTTTCTTTTCGTTTCAAAGGATGAGAACTCTCCTTTAAAAGCCATTCACTTGGTCTCTCTGATTATGTAACACCAAGTAAATGTTAATGCATACAACATTTATCAATTCTTATTTTGTGCTTGTAGCATGCCATAGTTTGACTAACAGAAATATTTGCAGATGAAAGGCTTAATGATATTGTCAGAAGTGCATGATGTGTCACAGTTTATGCTGGCAGTGACTCATAAGGGAAAATAACATTCAATCGAACAAGCAAAAGACATAGACAATTTCAGAATCCAAATGTATTTCAAAGTAAGACGACAGTGATACTCAAGTTTAAACATCTCTTAATAATCAAAAACAAAATTGAGGATAACTAAGCCTTAATCGAAACAAGTTGAGATCAGCAATATGAACACCAAAAAACAGAGGAGAGAACACAGGGTCACACAACTACCATATTTACATCAAGGTTTGTAGTCACTCAAAGGACAAGAAATTTTTTCAAAAACGAATTAGCTTAAGCTATATCAGTCAACAAAAAGTGAAACAAATACCAGTAGGAAGTAATTTGGGAGTAATTTTTGTCCAGATTCACATCAAATGGGGAATATTAAGGAAGAATTCATTTGAAACAAAAAAAAATCCAGAGAGAAATACTTACAGATCCACAAACTTGGAGCACTAGATTTCGACTCTCTTATATATCACAGAATCAAACAGGGGAAGTTTATACACTAACTATATTGGAGCAAATAACATAGATTTAAGACTAACCCATACATTATTCTTTAAGATTTTTTGAAATTACTTCAATGGGGACTTAGAAATCATGAACTAGCATAGAAAACTTAAACATTATTAACCCTTAAGATGAATTCGTAGTCGAACCTCAAAAGCATCACCAAAAAGAATGAGCTGGTTGTTTTCCTCGACGAGCTTCAGCAATAGCTTCACCACCGAGCTTCACCAACGAGCTTTAGCAACGAGCTTCAGCAATAGATTCACCTACGAGCTTCACCAACAATTTCACCAACAGCTCTTCACCAACGAGCTTCACCAACAGCTTCACCAACGATCTTCACCAACGAACTTCACCAACGAGCTCCACCAACAGCTTCACCAACAAATTTCGTTTTTCTCACCAAAATCTTCAGAATTCCTTTCACTCGCAGCTTCACCCGAAAATGGCTCTCTCACGTTGTCTGAAAAAATAAGGGTTTCTGAAAACAATTTCTTCTTTTTCTTTTACATTTTTTAAAAAGTTAATTTATCAGAATTATTTTTTTAGGAGGGACTAATGTATCTTTGCCAAATTATATTGGAGGGAAGTATATTTTTTTAGGAGGGAAAATTATTTAGGGCTAAAAAATCAGAATTATTTTTCTAAAAAACTGTTGCCATAGAGTTATCTATAGCGACGGTTTTGAAAATAGTAGCTATACACACTCTATAGGGACGGTTATAGGGATTATACAATAGTTTATTTTAAGAATTGTTCTATTAGATTCAAGAATATTTGGCCACGGTTATAACCGTTGTAATAGGTGAGCTATTGCTACGATGGTATAACCGTTGCTAAATAAGCGTTGCAGTAAGTCAAATTTCTAGTAGTGGTAATGTGTTGTTGAATTCCCATGTTGATAATGTTGTATATGTTGATATATATATATGCATGTGATTGTAATGTTTGTTTGACTTGTTTATATTACACTAGTGGGATAGTCGCGTGATCTTACCAGTACACGGTGGTTGTGTACTGATTCTGCACTTGCTCTTATTTTTTTTTAGTAGAGGACATCTTCAAGCAGCTATTGATAGACCTCGCTTAAGGACTAGAGTTCATCGCATCTACTTCAAGGGTGAGACACATGTTTCGGGCTGCCATGGAGTTCTCTTTCGCCTATGTCTAGCGTTTCCAGACATAGGAATTGTTTTAGATAATGAATAGTTCATTTGTTTCGGATGTATCCCTTCTTGGTTAGATTTATGGATCTTGTTTGATGTTTAAGTATATTGACTTTAAGATTCTACATATTTAAATTCCACTTTTGTTAGTTAATTAACTTGCTTACGTAACTTAATTTCCTTAATTTTGGTCTAGTTGCTTAGTTTGGGTTGTAGTAGTTGTTCTAATACTAGAGGGAGA